AGTCTTTGGTTTAAACCTACCTTGTGAACTCTATTGCTCGGCACTATTGCTGTGATATTTTGCAAAGCTTTCCTCTCAGATATTTCAGTTCAAACAAATATTTGAGCTGCTTTAGTTACACAGTCAAAATAGAAAGTTTGTTACAGACTGATCCTCTTCTACCATGAAAATATTCTACTTCAGTTTCTGATCTTCAGACATCTTATTTGGGTCAGGATTTCACAACAGTCTCCCTCCAGATTAAACCTCTGCTATCTATTTTGTCCCATTAATTTCAGTTTTATACCTGTAGATCTTCTCTCTTGGGAACAGCAACAGGGATTAACTTCCACTATTAGAACAAAAGCTGTTTGAAGATAACATGTATACTTGAGGGGGGCTGCTGCCACTTTACATTTTATAATCTAACTTGTAATTTATAGCTATAGGTAATTGAAAGCTAAATGTAAATTTATTCTATGCAAAATTCAGTTGTCAGTATATGACAGACTTGCTCTCCTTTTTTGGTACAATAGAACTCAACCTATGGAGAAGTTTTATGTTACTAAGTCCTCTAAACCACAAAATCTACCAGCTTTGATTCCTATGAAAAACTTGAGTTGTTCATTTGTTAATTTGTAAGCTTTTAGCCCTTGCCTATTTGCTTCTTCCAAAATAATCCACAGTATTACAATAAAACAACTTTGCAGTGGCAGCTAGAAGGACAGCTTGAAATGCCAGTGCTGTTAAGTCTGTAACTTTTGATGTGGCTCTGGTTAGTCTCATCTGGGATTCTGTAGTTTACAAAGTAACATTGGCAGTCAGGAGCTCAGCATAGGCTTGTGGGGCCGCATTCCTTTCACTGGTCGGTACACGTTTCTAGGTGGAGCACCAGTGGATGGCGTCCACCAGCTCTTTCGATGCCTTTGAGGACCACTGGGTGTGGCCCTGGGGGCTCTGCTCCATGCCCCCCCTCAGGAGCACTCATTCTCATGTTTTGACCCTTTGACCCGCACAATACTCACACCCTGTTTTTTGCCTTTGTCCCAAGAAATTTAGTTGCATCTTTCGCCCATTGACCCCACACAGTAGGGGCTGTTAGTTAGCTGCGTGGGCCTTAAGACCCATGTTAACTTGAAGGATGCAAATAGACAGGAGCTCAGCTCAGCATAAGTCAGGGAACTAGAACTTCCTTGATCAAGAGAACAAAATTATTTATAAATGATGATTTACTAGAGCAGTTTAAGATTGGGAAAAAACAAAATGCAACTGTCCACTGTTGCTTGGCATTTACATTCTTCACATGATTATTTAGTGAGATATATGACCCACAGTAGTGTGAGGAAATGAGTATAGAAATCCTAATGATATTTTATTTCTTTTTATGAGATGTAGTAGGCTTTGAAAACACCAGCACACTGAGAGTGGTAGACCTCTACTTTCATAGGATTATCCATTTTGGACAAGACCAGTAGTCCCTTACCTTTTTGGCCCATAGGTGTGATGAATGCTCCATGGGCTGCATCTGACCTGTGGGTTGTGCACCCCTGGACTAGACAAAGGAAGCACTGTTAGAAGAGGAGCAGGTTACAGGGCCAAGTAAATCACTTTCCTGTGTGAACTCCAAGTCACGTCTTCCTTGCTTGGAGTCATCACTGTGACCTTGTATCTACCTTGCTTTTCTCATCAAGAAGTATTACAGAGGTACAGAATACTTTATCCATCTCCAATTGATGGAGCGTGTCAGCAGTGTAGCATACTGGGTTGGTGAAAATGGCTGATCTAGGTTAGCTGCCACTAGAGGGCAATATACAATGTTAGAAATATTCTTTCTGTTTTTTAGAGCTTGGGAGTCTCACCACTGCTAACCTGATGGAGAAAGTACGAGGCCTGCAGAACTTGGCTTATCAGCTGGGGTTGGATGAATGTAAGTACTATACAGTGTTTCCCAACCAGTGGGACTCGAAGGTTGAGTAGCTGGGGCTTCAGCTCATTGCCCAATTTGAAAAAAAATCAAAGTTGTTTGCACTTCAAATAGGTAAATCAACAGATATCTCAGACAGTGGCGTTTTGTTTTTATCATGGTGGGATCAGGGCTTTTTGACACAATGGTTCATGGGATGTCAGGTGCAAAAGGCTGAGAACCGTTGCTATACCCAAGTCATGATGAGACCACAGTGGGTTTTCTCACTTAAACCTCTACCTTCTGGCAAGAAGAGTTTATGTTCTCTACTTAGAAAAAGTACCTGTGAAAGCTGTAGCAGTACATGAGGAAATCATTCTCTGATAAGGGGAGCAGATTGAGGGTTAATGTCCAGTCGTAGGCACCAAAGTTAATTTTGTGGCAAGAAGCTGAGTTGAATTTTCCAGTCCTTGTGGATTTAAGCTTTCATCCAAATGTTGAACTAAGTTTCTTTATATAAGAAATATGTTGTGTTTTATACAGTTTCCTCCATAGCCTCGTTTGCTGTAAAGCAATGAATAAAGAAATTCCCATCTAACTTTATGCTCCCTACTTTTGCAGGAATACCTAGTCATAGCAGAAGAAGGCTAATTAGCATTCTAGAGAAGTATATCTACAGGCTAGTGTGGGGAGCAAGGAGGTGGCAATCCTGACTTTGACCTTGGAGAAAAGATTTCATATTCTTTCTCTGTCAGGATAACAGGGATACTTTTTAAGATGCATACCCGACTGCATTCTGTTCCTGGATATTTCTACCACCTGTTACTTCTGGGTCAGCTCCTTTCTAACCTCCACTGCTGATGGAGTTCCTGTTAACTTCCACTTCCCCTAGGGTCTTGGCTATCTGATTTTATTTCCTTAAGTCAAATATATATTTTTAAGCCGTAGCTTTTTATTTTTACACTTTTTTACATCAGGACTCCTCTCACCCCATCCTGCTCCCCCAGGCTACCACTTGGCTAACTCTGGGGACTTTCATGGGCTGATGTTGCTTCTAAAACACAGTATGTAGCGTACACCCCCTAGGCACTTTATATTTGCTCCTTTTCCTAACCCAAGGGTGGGCAATATACAGCCTGCAGGCTGGATCCAGCCCACCAGACCATTCTGTCTGGCCCACAGGGCTCCTAAAAAATTTAGAAAATTAATATTCATCCGCCCCTGGCTGCCTGTCAAAGATGACGAGCCAGGGGCAGTAGGAACCAGGGGGAGCTGCTGGCAGGATCAAGCAGCTTCAGAAGTGAGGTCTGGCTGGCCTTGCCCTGCTTACCCCCAGCCAGATGTCCTGTGTGGAGCAGAGGCTTCTGGCCTGGGGCTGTGGGGCTGTTCCTGCCTCTCTGTGCCAGAGTGAAGTTCAGATAAGCAGGGGCTCTATGGATCCAGGCCAGGCTGAGCCACCAGGGAGAAGGGAAGCTGGTCCGGCTCCAGAGTCCCTTCCAGACTGGGCCCTGTGCTCCTGTTGCCCCACTCTGGGCCCCACTGGCCCTGGCACACCGAGAAGAGCTGCGCTTCCATGTGCCCACTCTCTGCCCCTCCCCCCAACCCACCTACTGCTGCTTTCACAACTTTCCCGCCTGTGGCTGCTGCTGCTCCTCTCCACCCCAAACTGGCTGCTCCAGCATCACATGGCTCCCGGCTGCAGCACTGGCTTGGCTTGATCTTGAGGACAGGGGCGATCACCCACAGTCCTCCCCTACCTCCCCCCACCTTCTGGCCCGCACCCTGTGCTCCTGCCACCAGCACTGGCCCTGGTGCACCGCATGGGCCATGCGCTCCTGCCCGTGTTCCTGCTCCCACCCATGTGCCCGCTGCGCTCCCACCCATGTGCCCACTGACTCCTGTTCACCTGTGCCGCAGCCATTTGCCTGCCACTGCCACCACTCCCCTCCACCCTCTGCTGGTTGCTCTGGCACCATGTGGTTCCCAGCTGCAGTGCCAGGCTGTAGAGCACAGCGGGAGCTGACTGGGACCTGCGATTCTTGGCTGGCCACGTGCAGTGCCAGCTGGGCCAGTCCAACTCCTGCTGCGTCCTGCGGTCTCTTCTGTGCAGCTGGGACCTGGTGCCAGAGCAGCGAGTGGGGTTGAGGGATGGGGGCAGAAGGGCAGGGGTATCAGACACTGGGGGCGGGGAAGTGGCAGTGAGCAGCAGCATGGGGCCGCACCAGTGCGCTGTGGGAATGTGCTGTTGGCCCTACCTATTCCATGGCCTCAGTGGTTAGGATGCTTGCTAGGAAATGGCAGTTCAAATGACCTTTTGCGGAAGGTGACCCAGAACCTGGGTCTCTTACTCCTTGGGCAAATGCCCTAACAGCCAGGCTTTTGAGTTAAGCTGGGAGGGTTGTCATTTGTTGGCTTTCTGCAATTTATATGAAATTACATTCTTTCCTGCAGCATGAAATGACACGTATGTAAATACTACATACCTGTCTTTGGTCACATTGTTACCTCAAGTTGCAGATGGATTTGGGCCTAACAGTTCATCATGTATTAAAAACAGTCTATGTTCACACCAGTCCTCAAGTACTTTAGAATCAATAACATTCTGTCAGTCACCTCCATTTTTTCTTTGTTTCCAACAGTGTTTGTTTGTTTGTTTGTTGTTTAAGACTGTGGAAACAAGGTTTGTACGAGTATATTTAGGCTCACAACCTTTGTATTCCAGGGAACTGAAATATTGAGTAATGGACCTATTATTGATACCGGTACAAATACGAAAACCAAAAATTTGTTAAGGGTTTGTTTCTTTCCTTTTCCCCCCATCTTTGGAACCTGGTAGAGAATACTAGACCTGATGGATGGCCTTTTTGGTATGACAGTTCTTATCTTGCGAAATGTGAGCTTTCTTTTAAAGAAAGTTAATGTTATAGTTATTTGGGTTGTAAAGCAAACATTCTGTCTTTGTAAAGAGTTGCGTTGCTGAGATTACACTTACTTACATGTTAAATGACCCATTTAAGTGAACTAACTCAACCAATGAACAGAACTTGTTTATAGCACAGTTTTGTGTGGCCCCTTAACCCTGAAATGACTTCATAGGAAGCCAAGAATGAAGCCTTTGGGTGCTTGTTCTTTCCCCTTCCTTTAGCCTTAACTTGTTTTGGTAGTTTGACAATGGATAACTCATTTGACTGAAGTTTGCAAGTGAGGTGGGTTCTTTGCTCAGTCTGGGAGGGGCCAAAAAGCAATTCTAATCATGTTCCTGGCAATCTTTTTGTCTTAAGACAACACAAACAAAAGATTTGAAATAACTTTGTGTAGTTTAAGTTTAACTTGGCTGTTGAATCAAAAGGTTTGCTACCCAAACCAGCCCACATCCTGTAGATGGCAGCATGAGACTTCGTATGAAAAACACTTGATTTTATAGACAAAAAGTCTTGGAAATTGAGAAGTTCTACTATATTCTGGCAGCTGCTCCATTGATTTAAGGCTAGGAGGGACCACTGATAATCTAGTCCAACCTCTGCATAGAACGGGCCTGAACTTCTCTGAACTAGTTTTTACTTTAGTAAGAGCAGTTCTATCTTTTTAATTCTGGCTTAAATTGTGAGGGATAGGGACTCTACCACAGACCTTGGTAATTTGTTCTAATAATTAATTACCTTCACTGATTTAAAAGTTAATGCCTTAATTTTTTTAGTTTAGTAGTTGAAGCCAATTATTCGGCCACTGGATCTCACTATCTGCTAAATCTCTTTTCCCCATGGTAGATGCTCAAACTGAACCAGTGCCCCTTTAACCTTTTTGTTAAGCTAAATAATTTGAGCGACTTGAGTCTTTTCCATGGTGGGTTTTTTTCCCCTTCCAGTCTTACCATGCATGGTCTTATCATTCTAATAGCTTTAATCTGAACCTTCTTCAGTTTTATCTATACTGCTTCAATTGTGAATGTCAAGACTAGACACAGTATTTCAGGAGTGTGATAAGCCAACTTTCCTTCTTACCATTTAGTAAAAACATTGCAGTAGCTCTCATTCTGTCGGTCATCTTTATTCAATCACTCCTTCCAGGTATCTCCCCATCCTCAAGTATGACCTGTTCTCTGTTCTTCGTTAAATGTAAAATCAGACAGCTTTATTAAAGCAAAAACTGCTTGCACTTAGTTTGCTGTGTGCTCTAGATCAGTGCTTCTCAAAGTGGTGGTCCGTGGACGAGCCACCAGTTGCCAGTCCACAGCGAGTTGCCAGGAAAGAAAGAAAGAAATATATTTTCAGAAGCATAACGTTGATATGCCATAGCGCCGCAGTTTGTATGTTCCAACACTCCAGGTGATGTCATGTCGTACGAGGTGAGGAAAGAGAAAGAAACAGCCGGTCGCACATTTGTGTAGTGCTGTTACACGCAGTTGCTGCCACCAGCTAAACTGGGCACTGGTCCCTGGCCCATTGGGGAAAAAAAAAAATTGCCCGTCTGCCACATCAGATAGTTTGAGAAGCACTGCTCTAGATAACTGCAAGGCCTTGCTAGGAAAAACACCTTCTTGATCATAGCTTTCACTTTGGTTTACCTTGATTTTTTTTTTTTTTTTTTTTTTTTTTTTTTTTTTAATTTGAACAGATCAAAACTGGCTGTGTGCACCCAGTTAACTTTGGATCAGCCTAGTTTTATTAATCAAAATATGCAAGTCAAGTGCCTCACAGAATTTTTATATAGCAGTAGTGCCTTTTCATCAAAGAACTGAGTAGCTTGATGGGATTTAGTTTCATAAACCCATGTTGACTGCCATTAAGTTTATTTCCCTCCTTTTTGAGCCCTGTACCCATTATTTCATCAAGTATTGCTGGATCAATAGGAATCTTAACTACCTATTTTTGCCTTGCCATGCTAGCCAGATATTTTTCTTTTTGTCTTTTTTTTTTTTGCTTCCTGTATCAACTTTCAAGTCCAAATTAAATTGACTATTAATTTTTAATTTTTTTTTTTTATAGCTGACTTCTGTATCCTTTTTGTTGGTTAAACTTGGCACA